CGGGCTTTCTCTGTGGGTTTTCGTTTCCCCCGTTTCTTTTCACTTGGGTGTTTCTGGCACCGTTCTGAGGGCAGAGCCGCGCCGGACGGGACTGCCTCCTGGATTACCGCCTGGCTTCCGAGCGCGGCGCGCCTCTGAGGTGGAGGTACCCGCCCGCCGCCCCCAGCCTCCCGCCGCCTCCCTGCTCTTAGAGCTCGGTGGGATGGGTGGTTTAATTCATCGTTTCGGGATGATAAAGCCGGGCCTGTGAAAGACGTGATTCAGCTGAACTGCAGGTCTCTCATACCCCAACCAGGTCATGTCCCTTGAAACCTCCTCACTGAATTGAAAGTCTCTTGGTTATCTGAAATCCCAATTAGAACTACCCAGGTGACTTGTTTGAACAGATAAAGGCATACCTAAAGTTATGAACCCTGCATTAGTATATGCTTCAAGTCTTTTGTACGTTTTGCTTTCCATCTTCATCCTGGTTTTGGCTCTGAGTGGGTTGGGAGGGCTGTCTAATTTTTAAGAGGTTTCATCAACAAGACTTAAACACCATGGGGTAGGGGGGTCTCTTGTTTTTAAGGTGTCCCTGAGTGTTAATGGGGGGTAGAAGGGGAACAATTTTATGTCACTTGGCTTAAATTTTTTCTGCTGAGGTTCTGAACTTTCATTTGAAAACTTTAGGAGTTCACACAGCAAGGAAGGTTGTACGCTGCTAGCATGTATTAATCCCTGGATTCTGAAACAGTGAGCTCTAGAGCAAAGCTTGTGGAAATCATCATCCACGTGTTAATATCAATTCTGAATGTCAGTTCAAAGCACAGGGTCTGAGCCCCCTTCCTTTACACTGTTGTCAATTGAACTTAGAGCTGCGTGTTAGGAAAAATAGGGCATTTTTTGGACTGAATTACTCCACGTTGCTTTTGAACTCTGTTCATGCAGGCAAAGTATACACTATCAGAGCTCTTGCCTGCGCAGCTCTGTCAGTGTGACCGCATCATTCAGGACATCCTAGCAAAACAGGAATGTTGCAAGTGTGACATGTATTGCATGTGGAGTGCAGAAGATAAAGGCAGAGGCAGTTGCAGCAAGATCTGTTTGTTTTAGGAATGTCTGGTGACAGTCTGTGTAACAGGCTTGTCCTTTGTTCGTCAGTGAATCCTCTGTGCTGGCAGCGCAGACAGTTGTGGTATGCAAAGCCCTGATCAGAAGTAGGTGTTTGACAGGCAGACCTTGCTCTTTGACAGGTTGAGGAACCAGCTCTTGAGTTGCGCTGTGGGCAGTGGTTGAAAAAGGCATTCCTAAAAATGGTTGGAGACCTAAGCACTATGTGTTGCCACAGCTGTTCAGAGAAGGGTGGGTGTGTAAGTAACACAGGTGATATGTTGGGTGTAGCCAGTCTGTGTGTTACGCTTTTCCATGGAAAGAAAATCACAGCTGAAGCTCTCTCAACATGTCCAGTAATGAGGCAGCAGTACTATACTTCATGGCTATGATACAGGGTAGCTAATAGCTATTAAATTAATTCCTTGGAGCTTTGGGACTGGGAGGAGGTGTTGAATTTGACACTTAATTGTGAAGTGAGATCTTACGTTCCTGAGTAGCAAATACTACACGATTTTCTCTCTATGGCTATCATACAACTGCAGTTGTCTTAACTGAAAGTAAAACACATTTCAGATGATCTTACCAGAAACTGCAGTACCAACTCTCCAAGTGCTAAGTAATCATGAAGTAGGCCTCTGAAAATTCTGCTATTAGCAAAGTTTTAGTAATAATACATTTTGAACTGCTGTTGTCTGCCATCTGCTTTTGCACCTTCAGGCTGTGCTTTCGAACTTTTGTCTGTAATCATAAAGGGTGGAAACTTTTTGTTTTGTTACTGTAACAAAGCTGTCATTCTCTTGTAATTTCTTTTTTTCCCATAGGTGGCCTTTGGTTACAGTATCATAAGGCCTTTGGTATAATCATTAGAGAGCTGCTATATTTCTCAGTGTTTTGCTGTGACTGGAAGAAGATTAGTCACTTCTGCTTTCTTGAAAGCAACTGTTGAAAATAGCTTTTCTAATATTTCTCAGTGTTTTGCTGTGACTGGAAGAAGCAACTGTTGAAAATAGCTTTTCTGACATTTGAATGATGTGCCTTTCATATCTTGAATCATTTCTGTGGTTGACTTTATACTGTATTGTATGCCTCATTTGTATTGATCAGAGAGGAATTTGAAGTCTTAGTGCGTTTTTTATCAATATATATTGGTGTATGACAGCATGTTTATCAACTAGAACTAGTAAATATGCATGTGTATATATATGAAGAAAATGCTCTGAAAGGCTAAATGAATAATTACACTTATCCCCATGGACCTTTGTGTTCCAAGACATCAGGTTCAGCTGTCTCTAATTTCTGCTTTCTCTCCAAATTTGAGAAGCCATAAAAAGTGCTTAGAAATCTGAATCACCTGTGCATGTTACATCTACTTTACATTTAGAGGTGGACATCTTGCCTTTTGCTTTTGCTATCGTTTTGAGCTTCTAGAAGGTCTTAAACATATTGCAGTAGAGGTTTATTGGTTTGGAGTAACTGAGGTAAGAAAGATATACGGTGTTTCTTGTTTTGAGTTGGTATGCAGTGTTAAGGTGTGCTTCAGTGACGGGTAAAATTAACCCTGTAGGTGCTTTTTAAGATATCTAGGGATCCTTTGGATTGCGAGGATGAAAGCATTATTGAGGTGAGGGTTGTGGAAGCCTCTAAAGTGGTTAAGGAAGAAATTAATCTCTTTATGCCCTCTTCAAAAGTGTTATTCTGCCACTGAAGTGAATATGGGAATCTAGCTTTTTCAGGTTCCTTATTCATTATGTCTTCAAATAATTTTCATTTTAAATTTATGCAGGTTTTTACCTTTTTATAGAACGAATCTAGATTATAGTCCAATAAGCTTCTTTTCATCTTGATAATTGCTATGACTAATGAGAGATTCTGCAGATATAATTATGCCCTCTCTCAGAGCTCAGCAATCGTAGCGAGCTGCTTTCCATGTTGTACCAAAACTACTTTTTGCTTTGTAAGTGAATGGGAAAAGCCAGTTCAGCCTGGCAGGAGGCGTCTGCTCCAGAAAGGGCCTACCTTATTGCTACTGAGCTAGAGAGGACCGTCATGTTTCCAGAGCAGATTTCCTCTGCCGCCATCTTGATTCTTCTTACTCCTCAATCTAAGCAAACAATGCAATCTAAGAAAATGGCCTCCCACGTGGTACCTGCATGGCCCCTATTAGACAGCAGTATGTTTGCTGGGGTGGCACTCGGCGTAAGCCGAGAACGTTGATGGCTGCATATGTATAACAGCATTGACCTTTTTTCACCTTCATTGCTGATGAAGGTAAAAGAAGACGGAAATTTCAGTTTGGGTATTAAATCCCAGGATTTGTAAAGCCGGTAGGGGAGAAACCCTGACCTCCTTTGATTAGTAAAATGATGAAGGGTAGTATGGAGATCAGTGAGAAGTGAGGATGAAGCCCCATAGTGCCAGTTTTTGTGATCACTGACCATATTTGTGTCTCAGTTACGCTCTGGGCTCCAGTTATTTTCTGCTGTTCTTGTCTTTTTACTTTCTGCTTTGCTGTTCTTCCTAACGAAATCTTGATTGTGCACATTTTAAAATATTGCTGCTCAATTCTGTTGCCTTGTTATGCAATGCCAATTTTATTTTCCTTTGTTTATTACCTCTTCAGGTTTCTTTTTAAATACCACGATTTTTTTTATTTGCCTGGTTATTTCTAAGAGGAATGATCCTGGAAGTTGTCCATTCCACTTCTTCCTCTGCACTCTACCTGTGGACAGTCCGTAAAAACTAGGCAAGAGGGAAAACATGTAGCAGGATTGTGGAATGTGCCTGGGGGAAGGGACATGTGGGCAAGATCGATACTTTTATTAGCCAAAATACCATTATTTTTAAAGAAACACAGAAGTTGCTTTTCATTATATAGTTATAATCTCTAATGCATAAAGTGTATAGAGCTTTTTGATCTGAATGCTGCAAAAAGGAAATGCAGTCTGCATTCCATTTTGTAGGGCTTGTCACTGCAAATAAGGAGAAGATGGGGGCAAGTTATGCCTGTGTAAGAAAGTCCTATTTAAATAATTTACCCTGCTGCTAGTGTGATGTCTGTGAAGGAAAAAAACACTGATACCCCAAACTTTTAGAAGAACATATCAATGGATGCTTTCACAGCATGTGTTATGACTAGCAGGTGGTATAATGTTTTAATTTTGTTTATGAAGGCTTGAATTAATTCATAGACATGTGCATACTCCCTGTGTTTTTAAACAAATCTCTTTATATGATCCAAAGCTCAGTTATTCGGTGTTTTGATTTGTGGCACTTCAAATAGTGTTGCAAATAATCTTGCAAATAAATCTAATGTAAACTTTGTGCTTGCCAAATACTTTACATTTTTAGCTGGATGTCTACTGCAAGGTGCTTCCTGAAAATCTTACACAAGAAATGTAAGAAGTCTGACTTGTAAATTTCAGCCTTATTTAAAATAAATAAAAACAGTGTTTCCCGAAGGGGAAATGAGCATGTAGAGGAAAGGTATGGTTTTAAGAGATTCTTCAAGCTATGAAAAGAATGGGAATGAGCTCAAAGTTGAACCTTCAAGGATGTTCACCTTCTTAGCCTAAGTAGGATGACAAAGGAAAACTGTCCTTTTCCATTTGAAGCTAAAAATGATACCTCTGCCGGAGTTTGGTAATTCACTTGCCTTTTTTTTTTTTCCCCACTGATTTTTTTTCTTTTATAATTATTCCTTAGGGTGAAAAATTTGGCCCCTTTGCAGGGGAGAAGCGAATGCCACAGGAACTGGATGAGAACACAGACTGCAGGCTCATGTGGGAAGTGAGTAGTCTAGAGAGACACCATCACACCTAGCAAAAGTGTTCTCAGAATTAAGTGTTTACTGTAACAAATCCTTCTCCAGCTTAAAGATACTGTAGTGAGATTTTGTTCTTATTGATGCTTTTTAAAATATGCTTTTTGGACGGAGGGGGATTGACTTCTTTAAAATGATGAAGAAATAACGAATGATAATTTCTAATCAATGAAGTGTGAGAAATAGCAAGTCAAGCAAAACATAAAAATATAACATCGTGAAAAATTATTGGAAAATGTGAAAATAAAAAAGTAATTTGAATTTGGGAAGATGATTGTAAGATACTGATTTATGCTGATCAACAGGTGCCAGCTCCTAGCTTCCTCCAACTGTAATATAAAACATTTCCTGCTGTGACACTTGTGGTAGGGTTTGGCAATTGTATGATAAGTGAAGTTTTTAAATTTTAGCAACTTTGTAACACAATGGGTAGTTGTGAGATCTTTAGCAAAATAAAAACCTGGTGCTGTGGGCAGATGAAGGCATAATGTGTTTTAGGGCTCTTCTAAACTTCTATGGGTTTAGCATCAACAGTACTTTATACACTAAGTCTTGTAATTACATCCTTAACCCATTCTAGTTCCTGTCATAGCTGTGTTTGCCTGTAGCAAAAAATCTGAGTTTACCAGTTGAGATTATACTTCCTGAAAAACGCTTGCAATAACAACATTTCCAACTTGTTACAAACACCTGCTTTTTGGTGCTTCTGGTCTGTCTTTGTTATCTATCTTTTCTGCTCTACTTCTTTGAGCAGAATTCCTTTCCTTTCCTTTTTTATTTTTTTCCCCAGCCAAACAGTTTGTATTGAATGCATATTTAGTCCTGTTTTACACTGAGAAGGGGACTAATTTCCTACTTTTTCACCTTTCTGTGGTTAGAGGTGGAAAGATGACTGCTATTTTTGTTTGGTGGCACTATACAAGAAAAGCTTATGTTTGACATGTGGCTTAAAGCACTATCTGCACATGTATTACAAAATAAATGTTTGACAAAAGCCCTCAAGCATTAACATCCCTGAGCAGCTTATAAAGAGAGGATAGTATTGATATGGTCTTAGCAGAGCTATAAATAGATTCTACACGCTGGGACAATGAGTGAGAGAATGCTAAAAGCCCATCTCGTTATACCCAAACTCAACATAAATACAGTGAGTGATAAAATATTCCCAGATGAGTCTTAATGCAAGTGTATGTATCCCTGTGCCTTTGTTTTCCCCCTTCCTCTTTTCTTTCCTTTTTTTTTTCTTTAAATCTAGAGATGTGCCCAAAATATCTTTTCCCAGAGAAGAGGTGTGGACAAGTTGTTCCCCTCTCTCCTTTGGTTGTGTACTCAGAGCAACTGGTTTAATCTTCTTTGATCTCAGCTGAAAAGAAAACAATACAATGTGCTTCTAATACAAATGTTTGCTGAATACAGTACACGTTCATGTGCCCTGGCTCACTTGCCTTTTCATGATGTTTCTGCAGGTTATTTTAAATCGATAAAATACTTGAGCTAGAACAAGGTTTTCAGAAGGGATGGTGGGTGGATTATAGCAATGAGAAGGTCTTTAAATTTGTTGGAAAGCTGTATGATTTTCCAGATGTCTCATTGCTGATGATTAAATGAGATTTATCTGTTTCTGTAAGACAGAAAATAAAAGACAAATACATGTATTTACTGATGACACTAATACGACCCCATCAACAGCAAATCAGAAAATGAGTTTTTTATGAGCTGTTCTAAAACCATTTCATAATATCTTATTGTAACCTACTTTTGAGAGTCTTGAAAGATTCCTGCATACCAAATTTTATGACTTCCTGAATGTTTGAACCCAAGTTGTTCAAGTTTACTGTAGTTGATCTGAACGTGAGCTTTATAATGCACTTTAAATCATGCTGAGAGTAGTCTTAAGTTGAAAATAGAGACCAGGAATGCAGAAAGTAAAAAGTTGAATGGTCCAAGTAGATGGTTATTCCAGAGACTGTGGGAGGCAGTCACAGTAACTAGCCAAGTTTGTGCATAGTTGGCTGTACCAAAGATAATAAAAATAATTAATTTGAAGACTGTTGGATGAAGGCATACTAAAGCCTGACCTCATAGTCTGATTGCAGTCAAAAAAATGCGTTTTCAGTGAGGACACCTGTAGAAAGCAAGCTAAGTAGTAGAGACTTTTTGTAAGGCAAGTAAAAATGACCATGAATGGAACACTTCTTTTCTTGGTATGTGATGCCTGGGATCTGAGCTTCAATTTTGTGGAATAGTTTTCTGTGAGGAAGTTTGCCACATGCATTTCTAGTTCTGCAGAGTTGAGGTCTGTGATGTGGTCTGTTTTGATCAAGCTATTCCTTTTTCTCCGAGACCAGCATTGTGAGTTGGCATGTTTGAGACGTCACATTGAGACAGAATTGTATACGTTATGTTTTCTTTTGGTCTTTGGGAAAACATGGAACCCAAAAGAATTTATTGGGTCCAGTGATTTTGTTAAATAAAGTTCTGAGGATGTTAGAGTTTGTGTTTAAATTAAATATAGCAGAATGCTATTAGTCTGCCTGTAACTTGTGTAGTTCTAAAGAAATCAAAAGTTTACACTTGCTCATTCAACAGATTCCAGAGGATTGGGGTGGTAGTGGGAAAGCGTCCTTGATCTTGCTGTTATCTTTGTAAAGAGCTACATGCTGAAATGTTTTACTTACAAGTGATGCGAAAGGGAAAAAACCCAAACCTGTGGTAACCATATAGTTAGGAGTAATAATAAAAAGCCAAGAAAATGTCCAAATGGCTTTGTGCTTTTTCTTTCTTTCTGTCAAAGAACCACCTCCCTGTTATCCCCTAACCCTCATGTCATTACCTCTCAGACTGAATTGCATGTTGCTCTAGTTAAGTATGCAGCTAGTTGCTGGTGATGAATCGAGAGGTTTGTTCTTATTCTTAGCATCCCACTAACACCTTGATTAAGTACTGCTTTGTTGGTCTGTATTGGTATACTTGGCATAGTAATTTTAAATTACATGTATTTGCTGGAAGAGCAAGTGCTTTAAGGCAAGAACAGAATAATCTTTAGGTATTAAAGTTCACAGTTGTTTTTGCCTCTGGAGGCTCAGATGTCTCTCTGCAAAGGGAAGATACCTGTTCAGTTTATTTTCTTTATCGTCCCTAATCAAGAAAGTGGTGTTCATTTCACTGCTATTGGTTTGTGGCAAGCATATACTTTTGGTGATGACTTTGGCAAATGTTAGAACAGGGAGGGCTGGAAAGACTTAGTCCTTCTTCAGTTACTCTGACATACCATGAAGAAATGTTGGTCAGGATTGAATGGCACATAATATGCTGTGTAATGTTGAATGTTAAATATTTCAGGTTTGGTTTCTGTCTATCTGCCAGGATTATGTTTTCTTCATTGTTATATTAAAACAGAGAAGAACAGAAACATACTGGAATTAAGTCTTTCAATGGAAGCTAATGTTCGTGCTTATTCATATGAGAAAATGAAATGAACTTATGTTTCTACTACATAACTCTGATCACTTCTGCAGTGACAATTGTTTTCTGTTAAATAAGCCTGCCTGAAAACTATCAAAGGCAATAGAAAATCTGCTATTGGCTGCAACCAGCTTTAGATCAGAGCTTTAATGTTTAGGATTGAGGTATGAGAAGTCAAGCACTTTAAGCTAATGGTGGGGTGGGTTTTGTTTTTTTTTTTTTTTTTTTTTTTTTTTCTTCTTTGATATCTTGCCTGTAAAATGTGGTTCTGGCATAGGAAGGCTTTTACTTACAAGGCATTAAGTCGAATTATGTCTTGAGTTTCATGATAAAATAAACCTTAATTTGAAGAATCCTGTGTTTGCTCTCAAGATGAATGTAATATTAGAAACCTAGTTCTTAGCAATGGAGTCTTTATTTTTTCTGTATGAAGACTACCTTCGTGGTCATTACTCCTCAGATAGTATTTACATTTAAAATTATTTGCTTTTAATGTTTTTGTGTGAATCTTTGTTTAATTTTCAGAAATGTTTTTGTTTTTCTCATTTCTTAGACAAGTGCATCTGGATGCATTTTTATACAAGTTGCATTTAAAGTAACTTCTGCCACACATAACAGTCAGACATTGATGCCCTATCACAATTCCAAGCTTGCATCTTAGATTTTCAATTTTGTGAAATTAATCCCCACTGGGATAGATAGGTGTCCAAGGTAGTTATTAATATTCTTCCCAGTTTGTTTATTTAGCTAAATTTCATTAATCAACTCTTTTAATGCTTGATTTAGTCATCTTTATTCATGTTAAGTTTATGACTTTGTTTTAATTTTAGTGACTTTTGGAACAGGCACCTTAATGATCTTCTGGTTTTGATGATGAGAAGAACCTACTCCTGAAAGTGAGAATTTAGCCTCATGTTTTCATTTACATGATTTATTTACAACGTTAGAAAGTACAGGCTGATAGGTTGAGGTGCTAGTATTCTAACCTGAATTTGTAATAGAAGATCACACACAATTGCTTGAGGAGATTTGGGTATCCTTCCAGTGAACGTGAAGTTCAACCCTGCTTGTGAAAACTCCACAGAACATTAGCAGAAGTCTAGGAATGAGCTTTCTGAACCGTTCTGTCTCTGACAAGGTCAAATAATGTCATGCAGCAGCGGGAGCTTCATTAACATGAAAAACTGTTGTTCTATATTTTGGCTGAAGAAAAATGTAATATGCTGTCTATGTCCCCATACTTCTTAGTGAGCAAGCAAATCAACAGTTGCTGCCTCAGGTTTCCTTTGCAAGTGTTGCTAGAATACTTTCTACAGCAATGTTGAAAGGTGAGTTTCTACTCTGCAGTGAGTTCTGTGACTGAGGTCTAAAACCGAGGATGCGGAAGTATTGCATCTAGCTGTTTTATACTATTAACAATAAAAATCATGTTTTCAGCTAATCAAAAAAAATGCAGTGCAGAAAGCGGTGCTTTTCTTTACATGATTGTTTGAATGAACATAGATTTTTAGATTTATATATGTTTAGAAAATGGTTTCCAGAAAGCAGGCAGTGTGTTTACTGCCTTCAGCAAAGACAACCATCTGCTTATTTTCAGTGAAGTTTTTTTTCTTTTCTTCTTCTCTTGCCAGGTGTGCATGGTAGAGCATTTGCAATTGCACTCACGAGCATTTTGAAGTAGCATACAGGACAACTTTGGATGTATTTTGAAAATCTGGAGATGATTTCATTGCAGCCTAAAAGGCTGGCAGATGGAGTAGTGCATGTTGTTGATGGGTATTACAAGCAGCTTAGACCTTATTTAGGCCTGTGTAGGGTTTCGTATGGTAACTTATACAATGACTAGGGGCACATTTAGTCACATGGTGCCTGTTAATGTGGCATAATTCAATGATGTCCTGATTGATCTTGAGGTAACACCCTCTGTGTCGTAACAGTGAATGTCAGGTATTTCATGTTACTGTGAAGACGTTTGACTAAATCGGTTCAGTGACACCTTTCGTGTTGATTCTCAAGAAGGTAATTCTTAGACACCTCAGTTTGAGGTGTGGTCATGTCTGGTGCATGCTTTGGATATGTGTACGTATTTTAGGTGTTTGGTTGTACTGAGTGACCAAATATTGAGGGTGTGGTAGTAAAATGGAAAGGTATCTTGCTGCGGGTTATCAGGCATGAATTTGAATCAGCCCTGTTCTAGGCTCATGCCAAAGTCTGCTTATACTTAAATATGAAACAAATTGCTACTTAATTATTTAGCCTGGGAAATCAAAGGTGACTGTATGTCTGGTCACATCACTCACTAGTAATAGAAACTCCAAGTTATCTCAATTGGTTACAGAAACTACAGGAACATCTTGGTCTCAGTGGTTGAAATAAATGGGTCCTAGACCAAGATGGTCTATTGCACCACAGCAGGCAGGCTCAACTTTTGTGGATTTACCCCTTTATTGAGAGGAAGTAAGGATGAGGTCCTATTTCCTGTTTTCAAACAAAACAAAACATTATAGTATAACATCATTGAGGTCTATTTCTAGCTCTTTCACTGATTCTCCATGTTAACCATATCATCATATCATACAGTCCTTTCAGGTGTCTTTTGATCTAAGATGACTGAATCCTTTATCATTTAGTAGTGGTGTCATGACTTAAGAGCATTTTTAGTTTGGTGGCCTTAGAAAATAAATCAGAAATACTTTTGTACTTGAGTTCAGGTCCTTTCAAAATAGTTTTTAAAATCCTTTCTGGATTAACGACTGTAGCTTGAGGATCTTAAGGAACACACCTCAAGCTAACCAGATGATTTTGCTTGGTTCATGTAATGCCAAATGTATAGAAACTGGGGAAAATAACATTCAAACATGGAATTATTCATGTAGACAGGTGACAGGTTCAAATGTCACAATTTTTAAAAACAAGTATGTTCACTAGCATTGTGAAATTGATACTACATAAAAGTACCAGGGAACCTCAGCCCTGTAAAAAACTTTTGCCTCTATTTTAAGGACCTTATAACATCTGTCTCAGCAACAGCCATCTCTGATCCTGTCTCCTTGGATATCAGAAAAGATTTAAAGGCAGACCCAGGTATAAGCATTTTAGCTCGTATTTATTGATACACCTTCTAATTAAACTGATTTTCTTGTTTGGTGATAATGCCACAAAGCAGAAGGATGACTGAGGACTTCAGGGGTCCGTTATTGGAGGGAGCATCTTTTGGGACATATTCCAAACTTCATTAATAATTCAATATAGATAATATTTAGGTGCACTTATTTTAAACTGAAAATGTAGAGTCTAGCTGTTTATTTCATTTAACTACCATGGTTAGCTTGTACTGGCTTTGAGTTTGAGAAATATATTTGGAAAGCAAGAGCTGGTCTTTTTGTTTGTTTGTTTTACATATTGATTAAGTTTGGGATTCACTGCCATAGTACTCAAAGGTTGGTTGTTCCTTTAGGTAACGCACCTGTTCATGCAGCCAGTGAGAAAAGGAGTGGTAAATATCACTGCCTAGTCCATGTTAAGTACAGTGTTTTGGCTGGTTTTCATTACTTTTCTTCCTCACATCTGTGTATTTGGTGCAGCATTATTTCTTTACAAGGTGAAAAAAGCAACAGAAAATATAGTACCTCTTTAAGGGATTTATTGTATTCTTTGATCAATAGTTTCCTTATGTGCTGTCTTTTCTTTGTGTTTGATATCTATTTATGGATTGCTAGAGACTGAGAAAGCACAACTGAGATGATTGTGTATCATTGAAGTGAATATAAATTATTCTTATATAATTTAAGGATCAAGCAAATGAAGAAGAATAGATGAAAAGGTAGATAGTGTAACGTATGGTTTTTATAATAGGATCTTGATTGCTTCTCTTTCTGATTCAAGTCAAGATCTGATGGCAACCACCCATGGTGGACTTTTATAATCCATGCTTTGGTAGCTAAATCACAAAGCCATTACCTTGACTTTAATTACTCAAAGATGCTAATCTGCAACGTTAAACATTTTCACTCAAAGTGAGGTTCAGCTCTGTCTATAACCTATTTAGAACTGGATGATTGTTACAGTATAATCAATGCAGTGCTTCTGCTTGGCAGCTGGCTTTTCAGGAGGTGAATACACTGTTAGCATGTATTTTTTGTGTAAATTTGGAGCTTGCTTTTATGGTTTGATTGCACTCATTCTACTCATGTTCCTAATGAAAGCAACAGTTCCAATAACGAGCAGGCAAGGTGATAGTCACAGAATGACAGGATGGCTGAGGTTGGAAGGGACCTCTGGAGGTCATCTGGTCCAACCCTTCTGAACACCTAGGGCCACCTAGTGCCAGCTGCCCAGGACAGCTTTTGGGTATCTACATCTTCGAAGATGGAGACTATACAACCTCTCTGGGAAACCCATTGCAGTGCTTAGTGTTAGATAACATTGCTTCCAGGTGCATTTAAATATGTAGGTTTGACACTTCTCACTGTGGTTAATCTGTGTGTCTGAAAGTAAAACAACTTGTAAAGTTTGAAATACTGGCACTTTTTCGTGACGTGCCCTTAAGATATCCTGTTGTCCTTTAGAAGAATAATAATACATTTTGAAGACTTACTTGTTTGCAGAACTACAATAGGGTTTTTTGTTTTAATGTGAGAACACCATGCTGTCAACCAGCTATTATTGTAGCAGAATACAGTTTTTCCTTTCTAACGATGTCCTAAATGTTTAGGTAATTTAAGCAGTTGTACTGAAGAAATACGATATTGCATCTATTAGAAACAAATATAGCAAGAATGTGAGCAATTTAAATACAAAGCCATGAAGACAATCTAAGTTTGATCTTACATAGCTGAAATCCCTAGCTCTTAAGAAATACCTGCTCTGGATACTTCTTGTTGACAGATCAAAAAGAAAATATGTTCATTATGTAAATAAATCACATGGAATAATAGTGTGGCTGTATGACCTTTCTGCATGGCTCTCTATCTTCTGTATCAGTGGAGATTCAAGTGATCTATGATTTAAAACAAAATAAGCCATTTTTTTTATATGGCAGTGGCAGCTGTATTTTTTCAGCAGTATGTCTTTGTGTTTCAAGGGGGAAGGATGACTTGGTTAATATTAAGTTTCTATTTCTATGATTTTAATTTTTCAATATAAGCTGGAATTTTGTCACAGTCATAGAAATTCTATGGATCTGTAATGACGGCCAAAAGCTCCTGATATGGAGGTGACTTATCTTGTGCATGCAATTCTTTTTTTAATGTGGCTTCTTCACTTAGTGGACAAAACCTGAATGTGTTTGTTTCCTCTACTAAATAATTTACAGCCCTTCACCTGCATAGTATACTAATCTGTTCTCTGAAATAATATCTTATTCTGATAAAATTTCAGCCAAACATAGTTGAAGACTGACTGGTATTCACTGAGGCTACATATTTATATTTCCTTTAGAGAGGCATATATAAAATATGTTCAAGTGAACGAGTAAAATAGTATATATGGAATGAATAAATGCAACTATATAGGTCCTTGATCTGAAGATAGATGTCCATCCAAGGGTAAGATGAATTTTGCCCTTGCTAAAGGAAAAACCCCACAAAACCAAAAAACCAAACCCACAGAAGACTTGAAAGGGAAATGAAGAATATGGTTTTCAAAAAGTGTTTTGTAAGTTTCTGGGATATTTAGGGTTAGTGTGAGGCAGTAAGACTTAACAGTTATGAAAGCATATCTACTGGATTTGGAAATTGTATGAAGAAGAAAAGTTATATTTGGTGATAAAGAAGCAAAAAGAGGATTCTGTGATGGAGTAGTGAGGTAGGAATGGAGACAGAACTGGTAATTCGGGTTGCAAGTTGGTTGAGCAGCTAGTAAGATTACAGAAGAGGGGAAACGGCAAAGTCAGTGGAAAAGTTGAATTCAGATATGGACATAGTCTGTTTGTAATGGTTGCCAGGTAAGGCTGAGGTTATATGGGTTTCTGGCAAGATCATAAAGAACAAGAGGACTTGAAGGAGCAAAAAGAAAGGAAAGAACGTGAGCACCAGTGACCATACTGTCAGTTTAGGGAGACCCAGGAGTCAGTCGTAATACTTGTTTACTAAAGGAAAGGCTAAGAGAAGAGAGGGGGAGCTCAATACAGGAAGCTGACACTAGTTGCTGGATTTGAGTTGCCTCCTTATTCTGAGGTGAATAAATATGCTTATAGAAAAAGGTGAATGTGCACCACAGCTGTGAGTACCTACTGAATGCAAGATTCACTTGCTGAGCACAAGCATGCCTTAGTGTTTTATGTGTTTAAATGCGTTTGGTAAACAATTTCAATTTTGCTTAATTTTTTTTTTTTTTTTTGTTTCAGGTTCGTGGGAGTAAAGGTGAGGTCCTTTATATCCTGGATGCAAGCAATCCACGCCATTCTAATTGGCTGCGTTTTGTCCATGAGGCTCCATCACAGGAACAGAAGAACCTGGCAGCCATCCAGGTAGATATGGTGGATTTCTACTATTTGCTTCCTGTTATTGATTAACTAATTGGATCTCCTCTTTGGTCTTTATGTCTTGACTACTTTTTTTTTCCTACCTTTCTTTTTAGAAGTGATCTCGTGTGCTTTAATGCCATAAATTAGACTGATAGCATGAAAGACCAAAGAGGTCCATAGTTAGAATCTGATATTCTTTGAAAGGTTTATTTTAATCTGCTGTGATGGAATTGCACTGAATCACTTACATGAACAAATTCTCCTGGTTTAAAGTGAACAGTTTACATTTTAAAAAAAAAAAAAAAAATCATTTCCAGAGTAGTTAACTCAGTACTGTAAAAATTTAATTTTCTCACTACAGCCTTATTCAGTCAAGGTAAGCTTTTGCCTGAATATAGTTATTTTCTTGTCATTGTAGAAATTAAAAAGATAACTAGTTAACTATGTTCCTGGCTGAATCAGGACTAATGATTTAGAGGCCTAGTTGTGTTTCATGCCAAAGTCAGGTATGAGCTTAGGTGTACAGAAAGCGGAATCATGCATTTGCTTTATAGTTTAAAATTTGATATAAAACCAGGACAGGTTTGAAAGCAAGCGTGGTGCTTAGAATATTCTAGTAGAAAACAGAGAATTGAAGGATCTAATTATCTGATAGGATGATCAGGCAGTGCTTAAGGATAAGTTAATGAAAAAAGATAATTTTCTTTTTCTAGTCTTGGCTTTGAATCTGAATTTATCCAGCTTATTTTTACATTTTTATATTTGTCATTTGCAACATTCTGTGGTAATGAGTTCCACTGTTTTAATTACACATTATGTTGAAACATGCTTCTGGTTTTCTTCTAGAAACGTCTTAATTTCACTTGATTCCCTAGTCCTTGTATAACAATGAATAGTTACTTTATGTTCATTTTTCTATGCGATCCTTGATTTTATAGAACCCTATTATATCCTTTCCCTCTTGTTTGACAGCTCTTTTCTCAAGCTGAAGAGTCTTAGTCTGTTTAATCTCTCATTTTTGGAAGCATTCTGTGACTTTGCAGAATGCAACAAAGACAGTGATATTTTTTTCTAGTTACAGCTATTGTCCTTTTGGAGATTATGGAAGAAATGAACTGTCTGCATTTTTTTTTTCAACAGCTCAGTTTTACAGTAAAATAATTTCCAATCCCTCTTGTAGCTGTGTTAAATTTTTTGCTTAAAATGGATACTTTCCAAAATGTTTCAGGCTAACCCAAGCTATTTGCTGATGTAATCCAAATTTGCAGAATATTAGGAAAGGGAGAATTATTTATCAGAATTTCTTAAAATTATTATTCTGCTTTTTCATAATGAGATGGCTTTTTTTTCTAGGATTTTCCTGCAGATCCTTGACAAAAGAATTTGAAAGCATAGTTTATTTTGAGGCCAAATGAAAAAAAAAAACCCCTAACTGGTTATCTGCCAGACTTGACTTGGGCCTCTGACTTACCAAAGCTCTAGTTTTACTGAATGTCTGACATTCCATCACATATTGCTGGCTGAACATGGCTGTAATTTTGCTGCTGTTATTGTTTCCTTGGACCTTGTTGCTGTTCCTGGTTTAGGTCACTGTGGAGAGCTTCATCATCTGCTTTTCCTCTGGGCCACAACTCTAGGTTGTGGTCTTTGGTTCAGACCTCTTTAAGTCTTAACATCCAGGCTACAATTGAATTTTGAGTAATGGATAAGAAAGAGCGTTCACTATTCATCCATTCAGCAAAAACTCTTTTCAGCACTGACTGAATGACTGCTTTATTATGCTTTTCCTGATGTCTGTGACAAGTTGGTGGTTAATTTAGTATGACCACTGCCTATACAATTATTTCTGTACGTTTTCCTTCTGTCTTTGTGTCTTGGTTATAACAAGATCTATCAAAAGATTTGTTGTCCTGCTTATAGGACCAGATATGGAAGGTCCTCATACATGAGGAGTCCTACGCATTAGTCAGTGATTAGCATGTCATCAGAGCATAGGCAGTGTGACAGCAAATTACACTCAATGTTAGCAAATGCAAAGTAAGGCTCACAAGAGGGAGCAGCGTGAACAATTAATGTTCGTTATTATATTTTAAATAAAATGCTCAGTAAAATGACCTGAACTTCTATTGAGTGTGTAGTAGTGGGTTTTTGATAATGAAAATGATTATTTAAATAAAGAAATGGAATGAAACTGTTATGCTGTATTGCATAATGTTATACCTTGCTTAGAGTGTGCTTAGTGCTTTTTACATGCCTTTTTAAAAAATTATCATGGAATTAAAGGATGATTTATAAAGAGAGTGGCAAGAATATTAGTCCTGTGAAAGCTTCCACAGAAAAACATTTGGAAAAAATACAGGGAAAAATAGAATAAACACAGTCAGCATGTACAAAATGATGGAAAGTATAGGGAAGACAAACCTGTGAAACAAATAAATTTACTAAATTATCTCATAGGTTTTTTTAGTACCATCAATAATCAGTTGCCAAAGTAGCTTTTGTATTCTGTGTGAGTGACCTGGAAGCTGTGTAGATATGTATATATGTACAAGTATTTAATTGCGTATAACATGAATAGGTACTACTTGTGCTGAAAAAAGCTGAATATGCATGTGCGTATTTGCAGAGTTTGAGCTCACTTTAGCAGATAGAGTTGCAAATCCCAAAGCTCTGCTATTCCTTTGGGGGCAGGGGGGAGGGCTGGGAACCAACAACACAGCCCACAAATTCTTCAGTATTTTAATTCCACAATCTTTGCCTTTAATGATAAGCAGATTTAAGGCCACTTGGTGCAGTAGCACTTTGCTTCATGAAATCAGTGGGCAAAATATTGGTGGAATGTTTCCACTAATGATACCCTTTAGTTTGAATTGAGAGTTGCCTGATTGCCACCAAGATGGTAAAATGATCTTTTACAAAGAGGAAGAAGTTACGAATTACAGCAGTGAAGTTGTTTTATCTTCATTATCATTACTCAAGTTAACGTGGCTACAAAAAAAAAAAAAAGTTGCATTGCTGAACAAGTACTAAAGTAATTAAAAAAAAGAAGAATTTGTAATACAGATTATGACATCAAACAAAAAAAAAATTCTTAATCTTAAACCAACCGAATGATTACATACAATATATATACATATATATATACACATATAATAAAGTAGAAAGTCTGCATAGTTATAGAAAGACCTAATTGACTAACTAAGAGGAGAAAATAGAGTATTTAGAGATGGTTAGAGACTTTGTGTTCTAACCAACACATTGATTACCCTTGTGAAATACAAATTTTCTCCAGACATTTGCATTATATGAAGATTTTTGTGGGGTTGGCTGAATTTTTAAACGAGTATTTGATTTTTCCCTCTCAGTTCTACTGCTTACTTTTAAAAGTAGATCTTTAGCAGTGAATTTCACAAGCTAAAATTGATTCCTTGAAATTATGTGACTACGGTTAATGATACCAGCCTATAGAATGTGAAAATAAAATAAACCATGGTGGTAGAATTCTTGCTTGTCCTAAGTCTATTCTATGAATGCGTAAGAACTTAACATTGGTTGTGTGTATCACAGATGCCCCTCTGCAATTTTCTAGGAGACTTTGTATGAACTAACAAAAATGTGAATAGAAAATAATAATTTCCTTGTTTATACCCACCAATGCTAATTTCCAGTAATTATCTTTCCCAATAGTTTTCTTTCCAGTCTCCAAATACTCCAACAGGAGCTTTTTGGTCTACTCTGAGAACATTTCTGATCCTGATGGCTTCACTCTAGTAAAGATAAATGTTATAATCTCATATCCGAAATAGTGATTGATAATCAGTTTACTATTTGCTGCATAATGCTCAGTATTCAGTTTAAAAGAAGATGAAGTGAATGCGTATGTCCCTGTATACAAATAAAGTAAACCACATCCTGGGTTGACTGCAAAATATGATTAGCTCATCATAGCTTAATTGTACCCAATGATCATGTTTAGACTGTGCAAAATGCTTCCTGTGGTGAAAAAGCAATTTAGAGGGCATGGGATTTTTTTTAAGTAAGTTTGGTGTTGGGTTTTTTTTTTGTTTGTTTGTTTTTCTGGCTTTTTGGGGTGTGGGTGTGGGTTTGTGTTTTGTGGGTGTTTGGTTTTTTTGGTGTGGTGTGGGGTTTTTTTGGTTTTTTTGTTTTGGTTTTTTCCCTTCTCCCTGTAATGCTATATATTTTGTAAAACCCTGGTTCTGGTGGAAGCTCTTGGTGATGTTATCTGGAGCATTCTGGGCACTGAGTTCTGCCTTTGCTCCCAGAAGGGCAGCTGTGGTGTTTGGGTCGTCTTTGGGAAGGCACAGGAAGTATTGCTGACAGCTGTGCGGTGGGTAGTACCACTGTGTAGCTGCTGGAGGAGGGCAGAAAGGTTGGAGGGTACCTGTGTATGTACCAATTGCTTTTCCGAGTCTTTTGCACAGCTGAATTGCTAGAGGCTTCTCTAACTTCACGTAGTAATTGAATGAGTTAATCCTCTGCTTTAGAATTACAACTTTTGCATTAACAGAAACTGTGTGAATTGTAATCTCTTTTGCCCTGGGCTATTGCTAGCTATTTACTTATAAATATGACTTCTGATATCTAGCAAAAAGGCATTCTAATTATCATAATCAAAAGGCAATGGCTCCTATCAAAGATACCAGAGTTTTGGGGTTTTTTTCAGTTTTTAGACTGGTAGAGTATTGCATTTTCAATATTCCTTTGTGGAATGGATAAGTTTATCTGGTTTTCAGTTGTAATTTTATTAAACACTCTCTGCTGGAGACTACTATGCAAAACAGATCCTGTTGTTAACATCGGAACTGTTTTATAACCAGATTGCAGCCAGCTAGGGCTTTAAATTCAAATATTTTTTCATTATCAAGCAGACACTGAGATGTTCTGCTGTAGCTTAGAAAGCAGTGAGTTAGAATAATGAGTAGCGAAAACTAATGTGGAGGAGGATATTTACTGTGAGGTGATAGAGTGGTTTAAAGTCATATTCCACAAATGTCTGTTAGTATGGCATAATTCAGTGATGTCGCTGTTGAGGTAAAAAACCTCTGTGCAGTAATAGCAAATGTCTTCAGAGGAAGATTAGTATGTGAGAGCGCTCTCTGAAAAGCAAGAGTGAGAGGAGAAGACACAAGGAAAGCAAGCACAAACTATGTTAGGCTGCTTAATAAATTTACATATTGCAGGACAGTTTTCCAGATTAATATGGATGAATGTTTTGGATAGGCTGTCAATGCTTCTTGGTCCATGTTCCCTGTCAGCCTCCCCTCTTACAAAGCATACGTGAAGGTGTGTAACTGGATGGAAAAGCAAAGAATCTGAATGGGAGAGGTGCCTGTAATGGAGCAAAAATGGGACAGCAAGGGCTGTTGGAACAAGAAAACTGTATTTGCTGGGCAGGTCAGTGTGGCTCACAACCTAAAAGATGACAGTCAAGGCAGGGGGTGAAAGAAGCAAAGTGGAATAATAAGCCAGCAATAGCATGAAGGGAGGTTGTGATGCCACCATGACCAACACTTGGAATTTTCTCCCAAGGATCATTGTGTCCTGTTGCAAATGAATGTTGTCAACAAAACAACCAGCATGGCCTAAGCAGATGGGCAGGTAGGACAACTGCGTGTGTGTTCTTAGTCATTGGGAAGATTATTAAAATTGCCTGAAAGTTTTTTTACTACATTCATTGTGTGTATGTCTGCATGCATGCAGATAAATGTGCTTCATGCAGGTGCTGCTGTGGACTGCGAGACTTAAATTTCTTAGTGGTTCTGGAGAATTTCCATTGGTTTCACTGAAAATGCTGCCTGAGGAGCTACTACAGTGTGGGTATATCTGGGTTAATTAGCACTCCAAATACATGACTATTAGTATTTATTTGGCTGGAAAAGCCAAACAAATTAGCCTTGGAGGAGGAATGAGTTTGAGCTGTGTTTTAGTTTAGCTTGGCACATAAACTAATTTTTTTTCAATGCAAATGCAACCGAGATCACTCAAGCATTGAGAGTCCTTAGTACTTATTCTATTAATCTTTTTACTAACCAAAAGTACACAAATGGGAAAGAACCAGGGTGGTTTTAGATACAAAGAGCTATAAAATAAGCCTCAGATGCACATGAGGTAAGTGCAGAGATGGTGAGGATGCAGCAGTATTGATAAGAACTTGGCTGTTGGGATTCATACGCTTGGTCTAGGTTAACCTGAATAATTAGTTCTGGTTGCTGTTCTCCCAGATTTACTGTGTGGTGTGAGATGTCACGTATGATCTAATTAAAAGGTGTGTGATTTGATTCTTTAATAAGTAAGTTTGGATTTTATTTTTTCCTGGGATACATGTCTCTTTTTTGTTGGGTGGTTTTGGTTTTTTGGGGTTTGGTGGTTTTTTTTTTTTTTTTTTGGCAAACGAGTAATAGGAATGTGTTTCCATTTATAAGGTTGTCTTGCTTTTAGAATAAGGTTGTCCTAAACAGTGATATATTGGAGTTTTACCCCAGTGGTTTTATCCTAAGTGGAGACTGAGTGTAGAAAGACCTTTTACTTTTCCTCATTTTGGGAGTTTCAGGACATGATTTGAGTTTAGACTGTAGTAAATTAAAGGTCTCTGCAATTTGACAGAGGCATATGAAAAACAGCAGTTTTTAGATGTATGCAAAAGTTAAGGTGGCATGCTGATAGATATGTGGCCTGCAGAATATATCTTGAAAAAAATGCATAATTTGTTTTGTTTTCAAATGCTGCTGTTGAGATAAGGACGGAAAAGTGGTGTGTCCTTGCAGCAGCTGTATCAAGTCTATTGAATTAAATAGGTTTCACGCTTGTGTGACAATATCTTGTGCAATATATAACAGACCTGCTAAAACTGGAGGAATACTACATCCCTGTTGACAGTTTAAGTTAATCTTAGTATATTACAAAAATTAAAAATCATTATCTTGTCCTTGTGCTATGAAGCTTGTTATGAAATATATGGCTAGATGTAGTGTAAAGAAGCTTCAGTTAACTTTTCTGGATGTTAAGCAGATAAGCTTTAAGATTTATGATAGAACTTGGAAGTCTTCATTGTAAAAATATGAATATCCTTTGGTGCTTTGGGTAGTACCTAAAGAAGCTGGTTCACATATGGCAAAAAAAAAAAAAAAGCAGCTCTGTGTATCAGTTCAGGAGACAGCTGGTTTTGCTATAGCTCCCCCCACTGTGCCAGCCAACCTTGGTAACTTTAGATAAACATTGTCAAAAACCAAAGTTGTTAGCTTATGTATCAATTTGGAAGCTTGTTTATTCATTGTGGAGAAGGTTTTAGAGCTTACTATCGTGTAGTTTGTCCTCTCATGCAGAATCTGTGCTGGATCTTTGGGCATCTGTGCATTTGTATATCTACACTGAGTTAAACCATCAGAAGATTTTGATCTAGCGGTTTAAAGTATGCCTGCTAACTTGATAGTGAAGATAACTGACCAGGGATGAAAACCTGTTCATGAAGGCTGGGAATCTGAGACAAAGAGGGAGAAAAGAATGCAATGTGAACATGCTTCTAAAAACTGGATTGTAATTCATGCAGGCTACAGGGGACATAGTTAGAGCTGTATTGATTATTTAAATTTTGTTATTTTTCTAATACTCGAATGTTTCATTTTCGAACTCTGAAGTTCTTGTCAGGCAGAGTGTGGCAGGAGAGGAGGACTTTAACATCACTTTCACCTTGGTCTAGGCTACAGTGCAAATTGGCAAAGCCTCACAGATGAGGCAGGGGCATATTTCCAAATGCCAGAATACAAAGGCACATAATCCATGCAGCCTCACTAGGAAAGAAATCTCAGAAAGGCTGTTCTAGCATTGTGCTCCCTGAGGAATGGAGCCAGCCCTTCCATAGCTGAGGGCTAATATTAGTTCAGGGTCCCATACTTGTCTCTAGATTTTACTTTTTCTGACGTAATTATTTATTGTGTCTACTTACTGTTTGCAACAGGAAGGGGAAAATATTTTCTATCTGGCTGTGGAAGATATTGAAACAGACACAGAACTTCTGATTGGGTACTTGGACAGTGACATGGAAGAAGAGGAGGAGGAGGAAGAAGTAGTACCTGCTATCCAAGAAGATGAAGACCCTAGCAACAATAAAGAAGTGCAACCAACTGGTGAAAAAATTGCAGGTGAGCAATAGGTAAAAAATAGGATAACTTGAGAGCTCAGAAGTAGTAAGAAAGAAGAAAGAAAACACTGACTGTAGAGGATTGGGGAACTGGAAGGTTCTCCAGGTTTACTCTGAGCTCTTGTATGATTTTTATCTCTTTATTTTGGTTTGAGTTGAGGTTCTTTTTTTGGCCTAATAAGAAGCAGCCAGTCCTGTGAATTACTGAGCCTAGATTTCATGAGAAGTTACCATTAATTTTTGAATCAAAGACAGAGTTCATTTCACCTGACATAAAGTCTTATGAAAGCTGTTTTTCCTCTAAGAGGGATAGTTTCCCCTCATACTTAGATGGGAGAGAAATAAACCTTTCCATAAAGCTGTTCAGCCAATCCCAAGGTAAGATGTCTAAGAAAAGGTAGGTGACCATGGCTGTCTGGTAAATTCTCAGCATCTTTATCAAAGTAGAGACAACCTGGATGATTAATTTAGGCTAACAGCCCAAGTCATGCCCAGTTTAACACTTTGCGTCCATTTTCAGTACTGCTGATGGTAATCCACTCAGGACAGGCTGGCTATGATCCTTTGAGAGACAATGTCTTTTGTGATGCCATTTTGCATAATCTCTTTCTGGCAGAGAGTGTCTCTTAATGTAACCAAAATATTCTCTGAAAACTATTCCTTTACTGATTTTGCTTCTAATCTTGCAGATCCCCTCACCTGTAAAGAGGACCATGCATGCCCAAACTGTGAATCTAGTTTTGCCAGCCAGGAGATTCTAGCTGAGCATCTTCAGACTTTGCATCAAAAACCCAGTGAGGAAAAGGAATTTAAGTGTCGAAACTGTGGAAAGAAATTCCCTGTTAAGCAAGCTCTACAAAGACAGTGAGTAGAAAGAGGAGTGTTTTTTCAGGGATCATTTAAATCAATTTTATTCAGTCACTTATTTCTCTTGGCTTAATCACAATTTAAGCTTTCATTTTTATGCTTATGTATTTGTGCCCTTACCCTTTACATTAGTCTTGTAATATGTTAATTTCTTGTATTTGTTGGCAACATCAATTTGAATCGTAAAAAAGTTGCTAATTTTCTATGTTTTCAAATCATGCACTGTAGATTAAATCAGAACTGCTGTTTGGTACAAAACCCTCGGTCTCCATCAGTGGACTATTTAGTAATTTAAGAGATGTAATTTTTAAGATGTGGGTGTCGTTACGGAATTAAAGATTTAGAAGAAAGTAAATGGTGATCTAGAAGGACAGGAAAAAAAAGGGAGGAACAATGCTTCACATTTCCTTAATCAAATATTTGAGTGATGGGGAAGAAAACAAATGGAAACATGAAAGATGTGAGATTTAAGAGCGCATCTTTACTGTCCTTGACAGCATAAATATGCAGCTTTGTCACTAAAGTTTACAATTACACTTCTGTACAAAAGTGTAACTGGTTTTGTATTTTTTATTTATATTTTTTGCTTGCAATTAGATGGATACATTACTACTTCTTATGTATTTAATTACAGATAGTACATTAGATGATTAAGTGATTATAGATAGTACATTTAATCTTACTCTCTTGTATTGGAAAGAAACAGACTCATTAGAATGCACTTAGGGGTGCTCTTGTAACAAATTGATCTTTCTTACATCTGAATAATGTGAATGTTTCTAGAACTGGCAGGTCTATATGAGCTCTGTGTTCTTTCATGGAAATAATACAATTATATAGCAGAGAAATACTTGGTGGAGGCAATCAAATAATTTCTCTTGAACTTAGACTTGTTCCTTCTAGTCTATAGTGGAAGTTGGATTTGTGCTGTATAGCTAGTTAAGTAAATATTTACATCATGCAAAGTAAGATTAATCTGTGTGAGGATACAGCAGTATGATCCCAACTCTTGCTGTCTATGCATTTGATTAGTCCCACTAAATTCCAGGTGACCTCACATATGAAATGGATTATTCACCTACTTAAAGATTTGGAGAGTTGTGTGTATGTTTTTAGCTACTGCAAGCTTGTGTAAGTTGTAGAATGTTCCCCTTATTTTTTTTATTTTTTTTTTTCTTTAGTGTACTTCAGTGCACAGAAAATATCATCCCAGGAGACTCTTCAAGAAGTTTTCAGTGCTCTGTTTGCAATACTTCCTTCAGCTCAGAATCGAGGTTTTGTGTCTGAGTTACTGGACTGCTGTCATATCATTGCTGGCCTCCCTTTGCATGTTAGCTTTCAAGCTTGTTAGTTTATATGAATCCTAACAGTGAAGGAAGTCAAATGCTTTCATTCCTATTTGCTGTAAGTAATGCATGAGGTGGCCTTGGAACTCTGCAGTGCAGCATGCATTAAGCTCAGAGTACTTACTGTGTGTCTGGTTTCTGTAGATACTGCTTTATGTGTTGTTGGGTTTTTTTTGGTTTTTTTCCTGGTTATCCCATATAGTTACGAACAACACAAGGAGGCATGCAGAGGGGATGCCAGATTCGTATGCAAGGCAGATAGCTGTGGCAAGAGGTTCAAGAGTAAGGATGCCCTGAAGAAACATAAAGAAAACGTTCACAGTGGTAAGAAAGAGTTTAATGTTTCTTTGGAAAAAAACCTCCTCTAACATGTTCCTAGCTTTAAATTTGCAAATCAGAGTAAACGTTGTCTTTGGTTTCTTTTTTAATGGATTCATTTGGATCAAAAAGAAAATTAAGTAACTAATTGCAAGAGTAACTATTCTTCCTCCCTCAGGGAGAAACTACTGTATACCAGATGAATCATTAGCCTACTGCAGAAAATGTAATAGGAATCTGGGGAAGTTTAAACTAGGCAAATGATAGGTAAAGGAAAACATTTCAGTAGTGAGGCAAATCAACCACTGGCACAAACTGCTACAGGAAGTGGTGAGTTCTTGATCTTTTGGTATTTTCAGGACACAATGGGATGTCTTTCTGGAAGACATGCTTCACAAACGATTAGGCTTGCTGAGGGTATTGCATAAAATTCTATAGCCTCTCTTGTGCAGGAAGCCAGACCAGACAATCCACCTTTAGGCCCTAGTGTTTTTATATCTGTGCACTGTGAATCAATAGTTTTCAATCAAACTTCACTCTGTTTTCATGAAAGGGCAAAATACTGCTCTCAGGTCCACAATGCAGATCTCAGTTCTGGCATTCTGTGCTCTCTGCATGTCCCCTCTCAATGTCAAAGGAAGATCAGTGTGTGTGGGGACAGCAGAATACCAGAGTGCAAAGAAAACAGTCTTTAGTTGATGATGACAGCACTGTGATGCTTTGTAAGATTTTCATTACGTGAAATCTCTTTCTTCTGCCAAACACTTAACAGTGTACAGAAACCCTTCCGTAACCTTTCTTATAAAAGATTATCTCCTTTTTTTCAGTATTAATCAAGAAATTTTCTCATCCATGAGCTTTGCTATGTTTAGGTTTAACTTTGGTCAGTTATGTTGTGGTATACAAATTCCACAGTTCTCTTGAATGATCCCTCCAGGCATGACTGAGAGCAGACGCCTGGGGGATATTTTTGCTCTGCCTGCACAATGAGCAGAGCTTTTATTTTACCACTTGGGAGTCATGGAAATCACAACTGGTGTCAGTGCAGGAAGGAAAATAAACCACTACTGTTGGGGAACACTTCTAGAATTCCTTCCTGCTTTGTGTTACCTGGAGGCAAGGGAAAGTAGAAAGGGTTGTTATATGTGTTGCCCGTTATGTAAAGCTGTGAACAGATATTCACAATCACGTTTTTCTCCTCTGAAAAGCTCTCATTAATGTTCTTGTAAGCTGAAGTACTAAGTGCATTCCTGTATTGATTTGTATATCAGTATACATAAATACTTACCGTAAGTTTTATAACAGCAAATGCATATGTGAGCTGAAGTACATTTTTACACTACAAATCTAGGTATTGAACCAGTTCATTGGCAGGTACATATTGTAGTAAGAAGAATCAACATAATCCAATTCTTTAGGACAGCAAGAGCAGGAAAGATATAGGATGCTGAGAGTATGAAAAATTGAGCTGGAAGGCGTCTAATGAGTTCGTTTATGATACTTTCTCTGTGCTTGACTAAGCAGTACTCATCTACTCTTTCATTCTGTGTCCGTTCTTTTTAGCGTTCAATGTAATATGAACATTTTTTACATAAGCTAGGAAATGTGTTGCATGGGCATGTAGTTATAAACAAAGAATTAGATTTGTGGTGGCTGTGTCTTGTAATAAAATAGCTTTGTGGGTTACTAAAATGAATTTTGAAAGGTAAATAATAGATAAACCCAATTAAATGCTCTGTCACTTTTTAAAGTGACTGTGAAAAGGGAAGGAAAATACATCTGGTAGCTGACCTGTAGCTTGTTTTGTAATTTGCATTTTAGATGAGATTTGAATTTATGATCTGGTGCTAATACAATTTCCCTGTCGTCTTCAGTTAAAGACCATTAATGATGTATTACTTTATATAGTAGCATGCTTAATGCTTTCTGAATAAAGAAAAATGGGAAATGGTGGTTTTGACTTCAGTTTGGGATTTTTTTGTCATTGCTGCGCTAACTCCTGTATTGATTTCTGGAAGAAATCAACTGTTCAGTTGTAAAGCGAGTTGTTCTTGTGAATTGTGCCCTTCATATTGGATTGGTGCTGTGTGATAACATCTATTTGAAGGGTTTTTTCTTTATTGTTATAGTTTTCTTGATTTACATTCCATCAGTAACTGATTTGTTGGACACCCACAGAGAACTCCTGATATGGAACACTTTGAAGATGGGATACAAATGTAAAAATCTTATGTCAGTCAAATGACCTGTGAAAAGTCACGGACTCAGTGGAAATATTTAGGTTCTTTCTTAGCACTTCCTTTTTAAGGTGTTGGTGGTATTTTGTTTCTGTTTCAGGAAATTCTAGGAAGAAGCTGATGTGTTCAGTGTGCAATAAGAAATGTTCCTCAGCAGCAAATCTCCAAGAGCATCGAAAGGTCAGTAAGATAAAGGCTAACCCACAGCAGGCTTTGACTTCACTAAGATGTGAGACTGTGGTGCTTAGGTCACTTGAAAGCTGCTGTAATGCAAACCTTTGGGTAATCTCTTTCATGGCTACAAAACCCATGTATTTTATTGTGGGTATTTATTTTTGTAATCACAATTGGTTAAACTAAAAATCTACCTAAAGTTTTAATGCATCCTTTACCAAATACAAGAAGTTTGTGCTTGTATCTTCTATGCATTCCAACATTAAGTCGAAGTTGCCTGCTGTTCTTCAGCTTTCTTAAACACTAAGCTAAATGTCCAAGTATATTATGTAATGATGGGATACATACAGACAATAAAATAGGTTCGTGAGCCTTCAGTTTTTGTACAAAATACAATCCATCTTTCTTATTTGTGACACACCATAAGGGTGTTATTTGTAATTTAGTTATGTAGTAGTAAAAAAAATTCTTCCTCAAAACCAAATTTTTCATGTCTTTGTTTATCTTTTATAATCGGAACAGGAGGGGTTAACAGTTTGAAAAACATCTATTGGAAGTAAGGGCGTTCATATAGAAATAGATGGACTGTGAATATGAGATTCTGAATCCATTATACCCAAAGGAAGTCTCTGCAAGATGAATTTGATAAATCAGTAAAACCCAGGAGATTCTGTTCTTACAAAAAGCTACATTGTACTGTTTATCAGATTAACTGTAAGTCTTCAATAATGCCCTGGTTATAACCTGAATCCATTGAGGATATAGATTATATCAATTAAAATATGTTGTTGCAAAGGAAATGGTGGGGCCCCTCCTTTTTAATTTGTTTTTCTTCTTGCTTGTATTACTATGCCCTGTATTTCTTGTCTAACGGGGCTATACTTTGCTACTCCTCAGACCAAATCGTGGTATGCCTTGCCACATGTAATGACAGTTTTTACACATCAGTGTACCTTATGGTGGCCCTGAAAATGCGAAATATGGCTAATGTGTCCATTTCATTAAAATGTTTGTTTTGTTTCAGTAGTTGTAATTCTGTGCAGGCACTATGACACATACTAACAAGCTTTTCAAGTAGGTCAATTGAGCACTTATTCATCCTAAGGATCACCATGAAGATTTTGTGCATAAAATTTATTTATTTCCTCTTCTTAATTGGCTTCTCTTTTACGGTGTCCAGAAAATAGGTATTTCAGCTTAATGTACCTACATCAGATAGTGAAGGAGATTGCACGTAGGGCTCGTGCCTGTTGTTTGTTTTAATTACTTTGCTTTTGTAGGAAGTGGGGCGGGATCCATCATCAACATTGCCAAAAATATTTAGACAGGCAATAATAACAGTAAGAAAATAATAGGTGAAATAGGGAGGAAAAGAGATTTTTTTCTTTTTTTTTTTTTTTTACCCATTTCCTATCAATGTAAAGAAATAAAAGTAGAGAATAGAAAGGTGAAGTATAGGAGATAACAGAAAATAAGCCCAAATAACAGAAAGAGAGAAATCTGACAAACACAGAGAAAGAATGTAAAGAGGGTGGCTGTAGGGGAGATAAAGAGATTTGTTTACTCTCTGAATACATGGTCATTCAGATCTGTAGCTTTCATGTCATCTTTGATTTAAACCCATTTTTAGCTCTGTGTGTCTTGTGGATTGCTTGTGCCTTAAATGTCTAAAGATAAGCCCTTTTTTAGCCACGCGCAATTAAACTTTGCTGTCATCATCTTCTGTCCCTTAGTCTTACCCTCTTGTTTTCCAGACTGTTGCTTGTATAATCCTAATTTTTCGTGGCACGGCTTTTTGTTTTTGTTTAGTTCATCTCAATAAATTCAAGGAATTGTAGAGCTGGAACTGCAGGAGGTTTTCTAGCTCATTCTATTTTGCAGAGTGGAGTAAGCATGTACCTAAATCATCCTACATATGTACTGTCTCATCTCCTGAAAACTTCCAGTAAAGAAAACTCTGCCACCTCCCTAGATGTCTCTTTGTATTCTGACTTTCAGCTTTAGTGCCATCAACTTTTTTGAATGTGTTCATTAGTCCAGTGTTTGTTTTTTCTGGTGTCCTACTTAAATCTTCTTCTTTACTGCAAATTGAGTTAATTGCTCTTTGTCTTATCAGAGAGAATGCCAAGAAAAAATCACCACTGTTGTCTTTGTAACAATTAGCCTATTGCAAAGTTGTTATGAACTCCATTTGCAATTCCTAGGCTGTACAAACACAGTTATCTCAGCTTTTCTTCGTACATCTGTTTTTTCCTAGCTACTTTTTCTTTTAGCAAGCTTTTCTTCCTGTGGATTCTCTCTTTTTCATTTATATGTCCCGAGTTTATTAATACAGAAGATACATCTATTAGTGTATCTCAGAATGACAGTGCTTTCCAGCATCTCATTCATATTTTGCTTGGAATTCATTAATGTTTTCTCTAGTGGTGCTATGTAGACTGTTGGTCGTCATGTAGCATTTGCGCATTTGATTTCTCCTTCCAAAGTATTGAGTGTTTTGGAGCTTCATTCAGAGTGTGGAAATCATTTCAGATTCTGAACCTGTCTTCCTTAATGATGACAGTTCTATCCAGAACAGTCTCATCTACATTTTTAATTTTATATTTGATTTCCAGAATTACTTACCATAATACAAGCCTCCTCCTGCATGATGCCTACAAAACTTTAATAACAGTTATGATGTTGATCCACGGATACTACTGCTTTTTGTGGTGATCAGTATCTTTTTATTTTTCATTCTGTGTATATCCACCTCTTCTGTCTCTTTTGTCTTATCCTCCAATTGTAAAGTGACATCCTTCTATCTGATGTTTATTGTAGTCCATGATTTGGGCTGCTAAGTGTAATATAAAAAATAAATATAACATAAAAATAAATATAAGACAATAAATAAATAAATAAAAGTAATATTAAAAAAAATAATCCCGGCAAGCACAACTCAGGAAATGCTGCACAGGAGCTTACAGAAGACTGGGTAATAGAATAAAGAAGTTTGTTGTAAAATCTCTTTTCTGCAGGTTTGTGATACCTACTGGCAGAACAATGAAACACCATCAGAATGATATTCTAAGTTCTGAAGTTTAATTAAAATAAAAAATTCAGTCGTTCCAAGATGATAATAGTGAGCAAGCAAGCGAGGGGAGTGTTGTCTTCACTGATGCAGATTCTTGCTTTTGTACCTTTGAATATAGGCATCTCATGTTTTGGATTTGAATTGCTCACAGGAACTTAAACTTAAAAGTGAGTTTGTACATGTGAATAGCACAGGCTGTCAGGCCTCTCCACAGAGGCTCTACTGTTCTGTAAGTGGAAAGGGAAGAAAAATTCAAACAAATCCTGGCATTGCTGGTTTCTTTCCCCAGGATGATGCAGTCAGTATTGATAGTGCTACATGTTCAGTACTTGTAGGTAGAATGGGGGGGGTGGGGTATGTCTCTTTCTGGTTGTACAGCTGTGGGGTGAGTTACTGACTCTTGTTGTAGGCAGGTGTTTTTGGTGGCAAAGTAGCTAGTTGTTCTGTTAAGGAAGAAGATTAAGGACACCTCTGAGTGTAAGGCAGTAAAGCTTTTTTGACTGTGGAAAAGGTCATAAAACAAATGCCCATATGAAACGCGGGATTGTGCTTCACTGGTAAGACTAGTTTGTGATGTTGCCCTTCTGGATTTCTTAGCAGATTTCTTACACAAATCTGTAAGATTCCATTAAGAGGCATGCTGTAGCACAGTCTGCTGGAGAGAAAATGACAGGACCAAGAAGGATCCTACTCATCATTTGTTCTAAGAGGCTGAGAGTGTTTTATTGTTTATGAAAAATACTTGATTCTTCCTTAACTTTCTTTGTTGTAGAGCTGGACTTCCTGCAAAATTACGGTGAGGAGAGTCATTTGTAAACATCATCTGTGATTCCCTGCCACCTTTTTTCACTTGCCAGTTCCAAGCATCTCTGCGTGGGGTTTTTTCCTCCCTTTTTGTTCAACACTGGGCAGTGTTTTGTTCTACTGTGCATTCTTTGTTTTTCACAATCACTATGAAAGCTATTGAAAGGTAGAAGAAACCAAATTTGGGACACCAAATTTTAAATTGTCAGTAACATTTAATAATTTCAGTTGGATGCAATAGTTTCCTATCCTTGCTCTCTCAAAGCACTGCCTTCCATCAGACAGAGTCTTATCCAGATTTTGGAGTGGTAGATTGAAATTCAAATTAGTTTCTGGAAAAGCTGACTATGGATTACTTGTATCTTCAGAGTTTTAGCTCAGTTTCACCCCAAAACTCTTTTGAATGACCTTTTGCTTTTCAACAGATATCATGAAAATTTTAAGATCATGAGTCCTGTAAGTGAAGGAATTTATCTATCTGAGCATATATTAATCTTGTTCAGATGCTTGCAGCACGTAGCAAGTTGTTATCTGAAGGTGTAGCTCTTCAAATACCTATGAAAAAATTGTAAATATGTTCTGAATTTAATGTAACAGAGGTTTACGTTGATACCTGTTACAGCCCCCTAGTGAGACTAATTTTGTTGTATGAATAAATCATTGCCTGAGCACTTGTCTGTGGTATTACAGCCTCTGTACTCATAGAGCATGTTACCTGACAAGTTTTCTTAAAACGAAAAGCTGTTTGCAAATCGCGGTTCATAAAATTATTTGCTACCTTTTATTACTGTTGTTTTACCATGTAATCGTGCACTTTTCTAAAGAACTGATTAAAGAGTGCCAGCTCTAGAATATATGCTTGATAGCTACAGCTATTTAATGCATGTGCACACAAGTCTGATTCTTTTCTAAAGAATTGATTAAAGAGTATCATCTATAGAATATATATTTGATAGCTGTAGCTTTTTAATGCGCATGCATGGAAGCCTGTTTTGAAGCAAATGTATTCAATGAGACTGTTTATTAATGCTCAGAAGTTGAAATCAGAAATTTGCATAGTGTTAAAGCACAGTCTGGGTTTTGATATATTGAATATTATGTTTAAGAATACCTTACAAGTTATGTCAAATAATTGTGTGTGTGTAATTCTGATAGCACTTGCTTGCAGAATTACGTAAACTTCAGCGAACAATCTAAGTAAAAAATTACATCTTTTGGGAAGGGGTAGAGTAGTAGATTGTGCGTGCATATAAAAGAAATTAATCTGAAATGCAGCTGGGTAAACAGAATGTTTAGAATGAATGATCTTCATTTGAACTTACCACCTGATTCTGTCTTAGCATTTTGTTACGTGTCGCTGTCCAAAGTGTGCACGTTTGCAAAGATTGTAGGAAATGGCATAACCACTTCTTAGTTTATTAAAAAACTTAATTTGCTCTGAAGTTAGTTTGTGAGTAGCAGCATAAAATCATGGTGAAGCAGAATACTTACGGGGAATATCTTTTTGGTTGGTTGGTTTGTTTTGAGTGGAAGTCTTAGTTGAGCTTCTTTACTGTGCTGTCTGCAAATGTTTTTCATTAGAGTATTGTGTTGAACCTTTGATATTTGTTATTTTTAGCTGCTAGATCCTCCTACAGAAAGTTTACAAAGTTCTCCAGAAAAGCTTTATGAAATGTGATCTCTGGCCGGAAGTTTTGCTGTCTAAAGCTGCAGTTGCAAAAAGCTGAAATGTATGTTCAGTTGCACTGGAAATAGGTTGAGGGGAGGCTGCTGATGGCAAATGTAATGCAGAGCAGAAAGTGAATGGTAATCTGGACAGGTGGAGAACTATGTATGTGTTGTGATTTTTGTAGAACAATCAATTAACACAGGATTATTTTTTTTTTACTGAGTATCAGCAGTTGCAGCTCTCAGCTACCTCTACTATTTTTCCAACGTTTCGTCCTTGTGCTGTGATGTTGAAAATCCTGCTAATGCTTACTGCATTTACAGCTTAAGAAACACTGCTGCCCCTCCACTGTCTTGCCTCTAAAAGCTTTTAAAAGAAACAGTCCTGAAAGAATTTGATAGTAATTGTGTTTTAGAACTCTTGTAACGGTTATGAAGTAGTTACTGTGTTATTTTTACTTATGTCTTATTGACCAAAAGGAAATGTTCTGAAAAGGTATTCTGCATCTGTTTTTTTAATGCTTTCATAATAATGATATATTAAATGGATCTGATATTGCAAATTTGCATAACCTCTGTTTCTAAATACAGTTTTAGTGATAATTGTTTGTTTGCAATTATGAATATTTATTTTTTGAGGGATACTGTTGTTCATCAAGGGACTAGCAAGGGGGAAATCACAGAACATTCATGACTATTAGTATAAGTACTGGCTAAGAATTTTAAGTCTGTTGGAGAATTTCTGTATATGTAAGTTGTGTGATCTTGTTTTGAGACACGCATTTAATTATCATTAAACACTCATTTTGCAGGTCCATGAGATCTTTGAGTGTCAGGAATGTGACAAGAAATTTATTTCGGCTAACCAGCTAAAACGCCATATGATAACTCATTCAGGTAACGTACAAAAAAAATGCAAATATTTGTGCGTGTGTGTATACGTATTTAAGGTGTATTGAATTTTACCTGAATTAGTTTCTTATAGAAGGCTTGATGAATTCTGTGCTGTTCTGAGTTGTTCAAGCAAATCTCAGGTTCCAAGGAAACCATCTAAGCTATCCTTTCTAAGCCTTTTAAAAAATGCAAGTGTAATTCTATAGTCTTCTTCCTATTGCTGCTTTGTCAAGCTATTTTTTCATGCTAGCTGGGGTAGATGATGTCAGGTAGCTGGGATGGTGCAGAAGACTGCTAGTTGGCTTATAGAGGAGGTGAAGAACTGGTGGTTGAAATTTCATGTTGAAGAGGATGGGAGCTGGGGTATGCTGTCAAGAGATCTGTGATAAAAAGGGAAACATTCATGTGTGTATATATATATATAAAAATAAGCGGACTTATGTGCACATAGTTTCCAGTTTCCAGAGGAAAGCAGCTCATACTCCACACTATTGCATAGACCACACACAAATATTGCATTGTTCCTGTCCTCTGCTGGAACAGGTCACTGTGAGCGGGGAGTGGCCTGTCCATAGGTTTAGCAGTATGACACAAATTGGCTGTGCCAGGATTTCTGATCACTGCAATCCAGTGTTTCTGTTTTTCACCAGTGATTAGAAACATCAACCAACACAATCGTAACACAAACACTGTTCTGTCAAATACATAAGCATTTAAAAAAATGCAGGTTTTTACAGCTGCACAGGCTGTTGAAATGGAACCATTTTCTTGGTATCAGTCCGTACCAAAAGCTCATCTCTTGTAACATAATCTCTATCTCAGAGGCTCCTAGCTTTCCTTTGACACTTTTGGATGAGCTTTAATATAGTTAAGTTGCAGTCACCAGTTGAACCATAAAGGCTTTTTGCATAGGAACTTTTGGTTTTGGAAGCTAATATGTATATTGTTAATTAAGTTTTAAAACATTTAAACTGTCATGCCCTCTTTCACATTTGTAATCTGGAAACAGAGTTTTCCTCTTTGAAGTCATTCTCTTTTGATTTAAGCTAATTAATCAGAATTTAGTTTTAGCAATGATTATTGCAAAGAATGTGCCAATTTCTTGAGATACACCATGGCTCTTCTTTTGTGGAGTGACTTAACTGTCTAACATAAAGGGCATTAGATGTCTTTCTAATTGGTTTAATCTTAATTGGGTTGACTTAATTGCAAAAATCTCTCTGAGGAGATGACTGTCTCTGCCTTTCATCTTCTCCCCCTGTATAAACAGGAGATTAAATGTCCCCCACTCATTTTCTGCAGAAAAACGCCCCTACACCTGCGAGGTTTGCAATAAGTCCTTCAAACGACTTGATCAAGTGACTGCACACAAAATAATACACAGTGAAGATAAACCTTATAAATGCAAGCTCTGTGGAAAGGGATTTGCCCACAGAAATGTTTACAAGAATCACAAGAAGGTAAAGCACTCTGCTGTTGTTGTTTACAGGTCTGCCAGCCTCAGATTTGCAGATTTTTTTTCTTTTAAGTGGTTCATCATTAAGCTCTGGCATGCTTATAAACATGGGATTAAAGTATTGGAGAATGTATTTTTTTAGTGTTCTTTGTTATATACAAAATCTCAAAATGCTAAATGAATTTTAGTAAAAAAAAAAAGTTAAATAAGCAGAAGGAAATCACAGTTGCTTGGCTAAAAGCATCAAATAAATCCCCATTTTTATTTTTCTGGTTTTTTGGCTGTTGGTTTTTTAATATTAGGTTATCAAGTTAAAAATGTAACTCGTCTAAAAGATCTTAAAATTTTTTTGTTTTTTAAAAAATCCCATATTTGAATAAAACTTAAGTGTAGTACTGTTGCAGTCATTGTTGCACTTAGCAGCAGATGCTTTCAACCTGTACTGGATTTGCAGGGGGTAGTGTTCACACATTAAAACAACATCAAAAAAAGCATTACCTGAAAAATAGGCTCGTGAAAGAATGCTCTGCTTCTATTGATCTAAGTTCAAATCTACTTGGCCTGATTTCTGTAATGCCTGTCATTATTTTTAACCTGGGGTTACATTTCTAGTGGCAAGGCTATATCCATGACTGCTGTTTCAGAATTACAACACTGTAAAAAAGAAAGGAAAAAAAAAACCAAACCAAACCAAATTACCTGTCTGGTTTTGTGCCCAATATTTGGAACCCTTTGCTCTTTTTTCTTTTCTTTTTCTTTATTTTTTTTAAATACTACCCCTTCCCTTTCTCCCTTTTGATGAAACTGATATACCCATACTTACAAGCTTTTTGCAGTTTGGCTCATGTTATATGCCATCTGGGAATTTGGCACAGGATCTTTGCACCATCTCTTGCACTTTCAGCCATAAATCATGCAAGAGTAGTAATAATGCCTCTTGTAGGATGAAATGGTGATGACTATCTAAAACAGAAAGCATGCAGAAGCCTGCTGAAGGACAAGATTAGCTCCCATATATGCTGTAATTGTAATCTTACATTTTAGATTTTATTAATGAAAATGGGGTAGAATCTCACAAATTGAATATATTCTAAGGAAAAAAATGTATAAATACTATCTGGAAAGATACTTCTGTATCTTAAATAAATACTTTTTACATGTTTCCTTATGTTAACTTGTAGTTGATGACTGGTAAGGAGTTTGGGGTGAAAATGGACTTCAGGATTAAGTATGAATGAGTAAACACTTTGACCCAGTTCTGTGTTTAAACCAGCAGCACCACTAGCATAAGTAAGGATTAGAAATTCTGCTTAATGGGAAAAATATTACAAGTTAGGCAAACTTTGTGAATAACTAATTTTGACAGAATTCCTTAAAGCATGTTGGAATACTTATTTCTTAATACTAGCTGTAAATCATCCGTGTCCTATAATGAATTCCTGTGTTTACATCAAGTTTACCCAAACAACTCTGAATATTCACCCATCCACATTTAGGTCTCTAATTTCATTTGCTAAATGAAGAGATGAGCAAGAGAGACAGGAAACTGACATTTAAACTAAAACAGAGTAAGTTTAGACTGGGTATAAGGAAGAAATTCTTTACAATGAGGGTAGTGAAACACTGGAACAGGTTGGCCAGAGAGGTGGTGGAGGCCCCATCCCTGGAAACATTCCAGGCCAGGTTGGATGGGGCTCTGAGCAACCTGATCTGGTTAGCGGTGTCCCTGCTCCCTGCAGGGGGGTTGGACTAGATGGCCTCTAGGGGTCCCTTCCAACCCAAAACATTCTATGGTTCTATGATAGATGTCCTGAATTGCTTTTTTTAGACATGCCTCTCTCCATTGAGTAAACGATGTCAACAAGGAGAGGTAACAGAGGGGAGTATGGATGTGCATACACAAAACCAGTTGTAAGGTGTAAGTCAAGGACGTGGTAGTCTGGGATGCCAAAATAGTTTAAAGTGCCATGATTCTGGGAGGGCTACGCTGCTACTAGGGGAAGAGGACAATAGTTCTTTTGCTTGTTCACAGGAATGCAGATCCAGTAACAGTGGAAATATAAACCTTTATTGTGTATCATACTTCTACATATTTCTTCGGCTCAGGTTTTTAATGATTCTTTAGGTGTGTATCCCTTTAAGATGTCCTCCTAGGTTTCATTTTCTTTTGGAGGAAGAAAAGTTGGACTTTGAATAATTTCACAGTGCTTTTTTGAGTTCCAGGCTGCAGTTACTATGCTAGTAGCAGGGAGCTTAGAAACCTTCAATAGGAATGTTGGGTATAGTAGTCAAGAACACTTAAATCAACAGCATTTAACAGAAAGCATGCTTTCAAGTTTGATAGCAACACACTTGAAAAAACTCCTTGGGTTTTACAGCAGTGCTACATACACTTATTTATTTATAAGAAACAGGATTACATATACATTTTGTGCCTTTGAATTCTTGTTTTGTGTTTTAGATGGTAACTTGTTGCTGTTGTTTCTGCGATTCCTTTATGGAGATTATTTAGCCTGATTTTGTGTTGGAAGTATCAGAATAAAAATGGCTCCCACAACATGTACTTGTAAACGTCTTTCACATGTGGGTGAATGTTGGGTCATTTCAAAGGTGTAGGAGGAGATTAATTCCTCACATTTCACAAGATTTCACTGTGAGATACACTCTTAACAACTCCACTGTCTATCTGCTCTGTTCAGTGGAGCATTGTGATGTGAACCCTAACTTAGCACTCATTACGCCCTTATAGCTAGAAATCTGAGAGGTGGGCATGGTTAGTCCTCCTGTGGTAACTCTTTCATGTGCTGCTTCTTGCATACAAGTACTACACTGCCCTGTGTAGGTGCCTGTGCAAGCTTGCTTTGTCACTTGCTTGGAGATGTCAGCACTGGGAAATATTATGTGATGTGGAACTAGCTCAGATATCGTGAAAAAGCTCGGACTATATGACTAGAAAAGTATCTGAAATTAAGAGGTAAATGTAGTATTGGATTGTGCTACAGATAAAACTAGGCATCTCTCATCCGGGTTAGATTGGATTACGGTACATATTCTGTGCCATAGAATGCAGATTACTTCCATGCAGGAGAAAGCCAAGTTTTTGTTCTATCTGCTCCTTTGTTGCTATGTATAGAGGAGGAGTTCAGAGAACAAAACATGAGGATATAACAGTGAGCAGAAATAGGTCAGCAGACACAGGATTTTAAAGAGTTTGTGGTTAATCCAGGGGTATTTGGCCCTGGGGAGCATAATGAATTGAAATGAGTGTATTCCCTCAGTTTCTCAATTGGGAATAAGTAGCCTTGGGCTGGGTTTCAGCCTCCACAAATGCTGTGGTAGAAAAGGCTGCCATGAAATATTCCGTAACAGCCCATCCTTAGTTGCTTTGATTGTATGGCTCTCCTCTGCTTTGACTAAATGGAAGCCATCTCTGATCTGGAACCTATTAGTAGGACACAAAAGGACAGTATTAGAACTAATATGCTTGTTTGAGGGGATACCTCTCCTTATTAAGATCTGCATGGCTTTTTGTAATAGACCTGCTTATTTCTGGACCTTTCACAAAAGAGGCAGATGATCTGTGTAACGTTGCATGTGGGTATACCTAGTCAGATGTTTTTCTTTGTAGTGAAGTTAAGATGTGCAGGTGAATACTTGTATCTTTATCAAAAGACTAGGAGAACTGTCAAGGAGATGCTAAGAAGGAATTCTGTACAAATCACTGTGCTCTTCAGAACTATCACTCAAGTGGTGAGTGTTCTAAAACAGGGCATTTTTTAAATAAACAACATGAATTTTGCGCTCGTGAAAGGTGCCAGATTGACAGCCCTAGAGACTGAACCCTTCTATTTATCCACAGAACAGGTACAGCACAGACAGCAGCACTGCGAGCTTCCCCACAGTGTCTCATCAATATGTCTCAACCCTGTTCTGGAGGAACCACCTATTGAGGTGAGAAGGTAGTTCAGTCTCTTCATGTCCTGTCAATCCTTGGCCTGACTGCTGAGACTGCCAAGCAGGTTGTCAACTAATGCAAACTGTGATGTAAACCTGTAGAAGCTGGACAAAAACATTCAGCAGATTTTTATGTAACCTGTGAGAATTCCACACATTTGATGGTGCTCCAGTTGCCTTTTTGCTTTAAGTGACGTAGGCTGGGGTCAAGGAATTGACTTTGAATCCAAAGTCTCTGTATACCATTGCAAGTGCTCTAATGTTTTGGTACTGTTGTGTATGTAAGAGGACATTTGTGTTAAAATCAATATAGGTTCAAGGCCCTCGGTCTACATCTAAATAATTATGCTGACTCCCCACAGTCCCTTTTTTCTCCATAGTTTAAGGGATAGCTCTAAGTGTCGTATGGTATTATGAATAGCAGAAATAGACTACATAAGTATGTACTATGCTAATATTTACTCTTAGTCTATCAAATTAACTCATTCACCTAATTTCATGCATATTATAAAACACTTACTGTCCATCCCCTCCCTTTTCCTTTTGGCACTGCAGGTTCTACGTAAGTTCCTTGTGAGCTAATACAATGTTTAGATACTGATGCTTTAAAAACTTGCTTTCCTTTGCAAAAATAGTAGAAAATTGGGTAGGTAATAGATTGTAAGGATTAATTTACTGTCTACAGTGGGACAGTACTTAGTAACACTAGGAGACAGGGAAAGTGCTTTGAAATTTACAGAAGTAGAATGAAGCTGAATGTTTCCTAAGCTCCAGAAAATAAACCTGCTTCAGTAGCTCTGCAGTTTGAGAGATTCATGCAGGCTTAGCCTTTTATTTTACTTATGGCTTTGAGGCTGTTTCTCAGCTACGCTAAATTTTTCTACAACAAACAAAAATATTGGTACTGATGCTTCTGAGTTTTTGGGTTTGTTTTTTCTTTTATACAAGAAGCTGAAACAAGGATATGTAAAACCAGTCTCATGATTTGAGAAATTTTCTTTGGCAAATTTTAGATACTGTCTTGAGATAATCAGATCAGTTTTACCTTCAAACTTAACTGACAAAAAGAGGTTTATGTACATATGTTTAAAATTAAAGTATTTATTCAAATTAGTAAGTACTTAAGGCCAGTGTTAGTACTGATGAATCAATGCAACTGAGCTTGAAGTTTTTTTTCCTGGTTATTCTATATTTTTGTTTCTGTTTACATGCACACCTCATGTAACACTTCTGAGACTGGGAAGGTACGTTTATTAGGTAGCTGCTAGTCTGACTTTCAGGATTCTGGATAATAATGGCAGAATGATTGTTTTAATTCTTCATCCCCTGATGTTTCAAATTTTTGTGATATCCCCTCCTGAATCCAGTCTAGAAAGCTAGCTATAATTACTGTAATGACAGCTGATTGATTTCCCTGATCCTTTCATCTGACATGTTGTCTTTCATCTGCAGACCCATTCTGAAGAGAGACCGTTCCAGTGTGAGGAATGCAAAGCTTTGTTCCGAACCCCATTCTCTCTACAAAGACATCTGTTAATCCATAACAGTAAGTGCTAAGTCAGAGAGGAAAAAGAACTTCCTCAGTTCTCAGATTTGACTGAGAAAAACAGACATATGGCACCTTGCTCCAACACGCAACTTGCTATATTAAATTAGTATTAAGATAACACCATGGAGTTAGAAAGTTCAGAGCTGAATACAAACCTTGTCTTTAAATGCACTTAAGTGCAAATCCAAATATGCTGTAGAAAATCTAGCAATGATCTGAGGTCTTATGACAAGAGATTTTTTTCTGCATTAAGTGTGATAGCATTACCTCTATTTTAAGAAAGGAGAAGTGGAAGTAGAGATAACTTGGTGGCTTACTCAGCTTTTGTAGGTAATCTGTTTTAGAGCTTGAAACTGAGATTCTCTCTCCTGTGCCAGTCCAGGCTAATGTTTCCTGCCTCTAGCATAGAATTAGCAGCCCAGAGGAATGCTGTGGCCATTTTCCCTCATGAGTAACTTGTTCTTGGCATTCTGTACTGTTTTTTTAACTGACTGTGTAAAGATTTATTTTTGGTGGAATTTTCTCTGTCTTTAATATTTACAGAGCTCTAGACTACTATTCAACCATGTGAATGTCAGCAATATAGATTTTAGAAAATATTCGTGTTCTAAAATCCTTATAGCTTAGAAGACAGTGCTTTGATTTGGGGAATATTTACGTTGGTATAATTAAAAAAAGACCACAAAACTTTATTTTTTTTATACCAGTATAACAATGTTTCTGTTAGATGAATTATTAGACTAGCATGTTTTGTTTGTTCTTTTACAATTATCTTTCAAAGCTGCTGCAATTTCACAAAGCATTGAATTTCGTAAAATATTTTTCCGATGTTAAATGTTAAAAATTATGGGGGGGGGAAAGTAAAAACCCTGCGTATTCTAATAAACCAAGCGTTTGCAGGATATTCAAAAGCAGTAATTCATAGTATGCAGAATTGTAGGCCTTGGTAAAGGTCTCTCTAAAAACATAGTTTGACTTTTTTTTCAAGAGGATGGGAGCTCAGGAAATTTGAGGTCTTTGAGTTAGGCTTGTGATTTGTGGCAAGTTTAGCTGTTCCTGAATGACCATTGTTTAAGCAAGTTAAATATATAATAGTGTGAACTGCAGTGGCACAGACATTGGGTAGTCAGTCTTCCTTGGTGCAAAAGGAGGCGTGTCTTGCTGAGGGACAGAGTAGGTGTTTGAAGGTGGTAACTTTGCCATCTTAGCTAAAACAGTCTCCAAAATGAGTTTAAGGCCTTAAACCAATAATATTTGTTATTTTTATTAATCACAGGGAGCATTTTTAAACCTTTTTTTTTTTTTTTTCTTACTTTGGAGAAAAAACCCAACAACTGACCAACTTAACAAGGAGGCCTTAATACAGCAGAATATAAGCAAAGCTTTTATAGTCATACTGCACCTCTCTTGTCTGTAGTCCTATAAAAGAAGTGTTGACAGACCAATAGCAAAGTGAAAAGTGAAAGTCGTTACTAGGATGAACTGAAGAATAAACAGTTTTCAGTTCAAGGCTGTGATTAAAACAAAGGGCTCTGCTGTTGTCTGAGGAGAGCTTGTGTTCTCAGTGAAGAAATGTAGAACTCTTCCCCTCACGACCTAACTCAGACTGACAAGTTGTGCTGCCATGATAATGAGTTTCTCATATTTGAAATAACTCAGAATTATAGCCACTGTCCTGCTACAGCTGGATGATGGTCCCTCTCATAGCATTGAAAATACCTGTTCTGTAAAGAAAGGGCAGAAACAAACCAGAATCTCTAGATGTATTTAGGTGTCTTTACTGTTCTGTCCTGTAGGAAAGAAAAAAGTCTGAAGCTTGAAACTTCTAGCAAAAATTGAAGTTCAGCCTACATCATATATTTTTTTAAATTCAGTATCCTCTTGTTGTTTTAGAAGCAGGCACTCTGCAGAATGATGTAGAATAACTTAAATTTTATTTTACAAACTTAATTTTCTGTGAAAAAAATGTATTTCATAAACTCACTTTTCAGGTGTTCCTGTCTTGAAATTAGAAAAGGTGTCATGGGTAAAACTTTCAAAATTGAAGATGAAGTATGTCTAACAAATAATTTAAAAGAAAAAGCAAATCCAAACTTTTTTTTTTTTTTTCTCCTAGGTTCTTGCTGTGTAAATGTACCTTGTCTTCTGAGAGTCAGACAAGCTTTTACTCTTAGGCATGCAGCTGATAATACTTTTCAGTAACTGTGTTCTCATTATGTCATTGGCAATGCTGGGTCTAACCCTTTATTCTCAGCTGTAGTGTTTAGGGATGATATATGATACATAAATGTGTTGTAGTTCATACTTGGCTAATACTAGCTTATGGGGCTGTAAGAGACCTGGCTAACAAGAATGAGTAACTCTGAGCATTTTTGCTTGGATCATTCAGTTGTCTAGGATTGTGGAGGCACGCATGAACAGGATTGCCTTTGTTGAGGAAGACATCATCCTTTTTACATATTTGCTTTCCAGAGTAAAAATCTACATGCAGAATGTTAGTAAGGAAAATACTAGTTAGCTCCTTCTACAAGGACTATCAGAAGTGGGCACTGAAGATAGCTTATTTCAAGTAAAGCACGAGTAGCCCTGATTTTTCTTATTTTGTTTTGTTGTAAGGAGAGTGCATCAGTGGAGTAAATAAAGCCAGTCCTAGGAAAGACACTCACATTATGTTGTGTATTTCTGAGGGAAAGCCCTCTTAGTAGCACTGGCATAATACATCCTATTGTAGTTTCATGTCAAGTACTCTGAAAAAGTTTCCCTCCTTCAGTGGTTTCAAGAGCTGAAGTCAATGATACACTTTCTTGTTTGCTTCCATTCTCTAGCGTGCCCAGGCCTGAAGAAAATGTATATATATCTTTTGCTATTTTATTTTGTAACAAACCTCTTGATCTAGCACAATGCAAACCTGTTGACTGAAAATACGTAATGGAAATTCTTTTTCTTATACCTAAATATTAGAAATTTATTTGGTAACTTTAATATTACTCTTATCTGCCAATGGCAGTGGAAAGAGTTTGGGTTTTGCAGTGATAGTTCTTAAACAACAGACATGTTCTTACATTTACCATATGAAATCTGTTTGTTCTTCATCACAGCAGTGATGTGTCATGAAATAGGTTGTGTAGCTCTGGTTTTTTTCCTGCAGTCTTCTACAAGAGGATTTACAGAGCTGCTCAGGGAGTTTTAGTACTCGCATCTTGTTGCAAGTGATTTAGACTTTTGCTTTATGCCATTGAGGAACCTTCTGAAACTACTTCCATAGTTGTGTATTAATGGTATTTTTTTAATTAAGATTTTGTGTATCTTTATCTATGGCTTAAAAAAAAAACAAACAAGACATGAAGACTGTTCAGTGAGCCAACTGTGAGTGGAGACAGTGTTCTGATAGCTCTTCTGTAATAAGATATAGGGTTTCTGCTAGTTGAGGAAGCTGAGGAGAAACACTGATTATTTGCCTTCATCCAGGATAACATTTGAAAAAATACCCAATTCTAGGCTTCCCATTACTTCGCATGTTTAAAAATTTTGCTAAACTGAAGCCGGGACTTGGCTAAATACATAGCTGGCATTGCAACTATATGTAGTTGAAGAGTATTACAGTGTGTACACACAGAGGAGATATGGTTCAACAATATGTTAGTTCTGAAATTCCTTGACTTTAGAGGTTTTTATTTGAAAACTGGTTGATCTTTTGCTATCTTATTATTTCTGTTGTTGTTTGAAAGTAATTTATCTTCTCAAATTGTAATAAAAGTGCAGTACTGAAAGTGAAAGGCATGACTGCAAACAAAACTTTAGGAGAAAAAAGAAAAATCCTCCTGAAACTCAACAAACGTCAAATTGTGTCTTAAACCATAGTGATATCATGTAAATTTATGGAAATCATACAAATATTTCTTACTTCAGAAGACATGGCAAATAATGTCTGGTATTGCTTCATTTTTTTCCAATTTATTTTCAGACTTGGAGCTAAGTTATTAAGAGATGTAAAAACCCAAATGACTACCAAAAAAACCCCCAAAATCTGTGAAGCCTAGAAGTTCTTATAAGAAGTAATTTTTAAAAGAAATTATGTGAATATTTTTCTTTTGTTGAAGCAGTAGAAGACTGTGTGTTACTTCAGTAAAAATATTAATGACTTCAGTTTGTTAGCAGGGGAGTCTCATGTTCCCAAGACAAGGACTGAAATGAACAGTTAGAAGTAGTATCAGTGTTAAACCTCCACATAACAGCATATTAAATTGCATCCCTGTTGACCTTGAAAATTCTTCTGAGTAGCTACACTGAAAGTATTTTAGCATAAGACAACTTATGTTTTAATACCTTTTAGCATATTCTTCTTGTGTCATCCAAGACAAAACCATTTTGTTTCCAAACCAACAGAGAATGAGGTTTGGGGTGATGGGTGGCAGTTATGGTTGATTTATAGGGGAGAGAAACAGGTTATCTAGGCTTTGGAATGTCTGTGGGTACTTGAGGCACCACTATATCAATAAGCTTAACTTAGATGTATTACATGTATAATATATAATAAGAAGGTTTTTGGTGCTTCAACATGTAGTATCAAATGGACTTTAATATGCAGCATACTGAAATAAATGTCCACTCATGTCACGTTGGCCTTTGCACTGGGACCAAGGCTGGGATGATTTTATCCTTTAATGAGCTATAGCAAGGAAATAAGTGTACCTCTACATGTGCATCAATGCTACTGGAAAAAGTAGATTGTGCTTATACAAGTCTGTATCTTAATCATATGGATCAGGAGGCTGTAGATCAGACTTCTGAAAAATAAGAAGTGGAGGATAGTCCTTAGATTATGATGATCTTTCTTTGTGATATAACTGCTTAGAAAGTTTTCTGGGATATGGGCACCTGATTTCCAGTTTAGACTGTGGTTTTCTGGATGAATGCCGTGTTGCAGATATTTAACTTGTAATTTTAATCGAGTTAACAAATAGAAGAGAATATTCTCTTTTGCATTCACAGTAGTGATGAAGAGAAGGTTCGTTGTAATGATTTCTCTGAAGAATCACATACCTG